ACCAGAGTTTATAGGCTTAGGCAAAGATAAGATGTTGAGAGGCCAGCCTAGATTACATGATAATACCCTATCTCAAGTAAAAGAAAAAATTGAAATCTCAAACCAAAGAGTACTATTATTTGTAGCTTACTAAGGGGCTAATAACTTCGTGCCCCAGATGTAGCTGGTATGTAACGGTGGCATTCATGACTGAAAAATAGTACATGACTATCTCTGTGATATATTTTGCCAGAGTAGAAGAATAATCTCTCTGGTAAAAGTAGCATCCTTAACTACAAGCTGTCACAGGTCAAAGCAGTAAAATAATTGCATTTCTCTGCTTCTGTTTTGCTTTATTCTATCTTTTTGGTATGAGTATATAACCTCTAATTTCCTTAAAGCAAATTGAAGGTAAGTCTGTTGGTTTGAGGCTTGCCACTTACTCTATTACTTAGAACTTCAGTTAATTCTTCTGTAAAACATACTTAGTGCTGCTGTTTCCATAGGGTTATTCTGAAATGTACTAAGTGGAAATCTAAAGAAGTTTCTTGTGCATAGTAGGTAAACAAGTGAGTCTGAATTCCTTTCTCTTTGGAAAAGAAACTGCCAGAATGTCCTGTGTGCTTGCAGAAACTAGCTGGGACATGTCTCCTGTGAGCTCTAAAGGCAGCCACCCACACATTCTAGAATTAATCTCCACCAAATTCAGATTCCTTTAGTCAGACTGATGTATGACAGAAAAGTGAGTTAAATCTGAGGTCCCAATTATGGGCACAATTTCTTAATTTAAAGAGAGGGACAAGAAAAAGGGTCTCAAAGCAGTACTATGAACAAAATTATTGTAATTTTCCCTAAGATACAGGAAAATAAAATGTTCTGCCAACCTGGTGTATGTGATCTATGCTGCTAAACCAGTTTTGCAGCTTCTATAGAAGGCTGTGACATGATGGTGGGAAATGAGCAGAAATAAGAGGTAACATTGAGATGCTAGAGAAAGGGTTTGAGATGGCCTACCTCTTAGTAATTCTTTCTCTAACATGCCTGTTGCCCTTGAACCTGTGTATGACTCAGTCTCTCTTTTGGTCTTCAGGTCCTATAGCTCCTGCCACAACTTGCTGCTTTGTTTGCCATCCTAGCAAGAAGGCAAACTGGTTTGGTTTTATTGCAGCAAGTCCAAGCTTGCTTTTTAAAAATGATACTAGTAATTAAGTCCTTGGCTTTTTTAGTTGGTCACTGTGAAGTAACATAAACCTTTTCATTCTGGAATATCATATTTGCTTTCTGAACATCAGATGACCCAAATATTGGCTCAAATTGGGATTAGAAGAAATTCTGCCATTAATTTCAATTTCTCTGTATTGGCTCAACGTCTTATCATTAACATGAGGATTTTTTTTTGAGGGGGAGGGGGGCCTGAATTCTGGGCCTGGGTGCTGTCCCTCAGCTCTTCAGCTCAAGGCTAGCGCTCTACCACTTGAGCCACAGCGCCACTTCCGGCTTTTTTCTTTTTGCTTATGTGGTGCTGAGGAATCAAACCTAGGGCCTCAGGCATGCAAGGCAAGCGCTCTACCACTGAGCCACCTTCCCAGCCCCTAACATGAGGATCTTTAAAGGCAAAAGATGCTGAGCATGGGAAGCACTGATATTGGAATTGGAGACCAGTGTGGGAGACCAGTATGGGAGTATCTCCCCAGCTGGGTCATCAGTTAAAGCTATACTATTCTCCATTACCTACTAGGACATCAGATCCAAGCATTGAGTTTCTCATATTTCTCAGAACATCAATTATGAAGCTTAAGAAATAGTGACAAAGCCAGGTGCCAGTGCTTTACATCTGGAATCATAGCTATTCAGGAGACTGAGATCTGAAGATTGCAGTTTGTTCAAAGCCAGCCTGGTTTTTGTTCAAAGCCAGCCTGGTTTTTGTTCAAAGCCAGCCTGGGCAGAAAAACCCATTTAAACTCTTATTTCCAGTTAACCAGCAAAAAGCTAAAATGGCTATGTGGCTCAAGTGGTAGAATGCCATCCTTGAGCAAAAAAGACAAGTAACAGCACAAGACCCTGATTTTCAGTAAGCAAGCCATGCAAGGAAACAGGCTCTTAGTTCCAACCCTGATACCAGCACACATGCACGTGTGCACACGCACGCACACACACACACACATACACACACACACACACACACGGACAAAGTATGCTATAATTGGAATTGTGGGATCAGAAGTCAGAAAATAGAACCTAGAAAAATAATAGCAGTTGAAAAAAATAAATTTAAAAAAAGGAACTAGGAAATATGAGAGGATTGAATTAGGAAATAAAGTATAGTGCTAGTGTTCAAGGAACTTTTGGGTTCATATTTGTAGGCTTCCACACTAGCTCAACATTTGGCCAAAGCTTTTAACATCAGAACAATCACTGATCGTGTTGAGGCAGATGTGGAGGTGGTTTGAGACACTGTGGCCTATCCTTCGTTTTGCTGTCTCAGCACAATTCTTCTATTTTATTTCAATACTCTTTCTCATGTACCAGAAAAGAGGCTAACAATGGAGTTGTTTCTCCAGAAATGCAAGCTAAAGAGGAGTAGCATTTTAGAAAAGTAGGACAGCTGCGTGCTGGTGGCTCAACACTTTTAATCCTATCTGGGATCTCAGGGAGCTGAGATCTGAGAATGGCGATTCAAAGCCAGCCTGCGCAGGAGAGTCTGTGAGACTCTTACTTCCAATTAACCCCAAGAAAACTGGAAGTAGCACTGTGGCTCAAAGCAGAGCACTAGCCTTGAGCAAAAGAGTTCAGGAACGGCACCCAGGCCCTGAGTCCAAGCCCTACAACCAGAAAGAAAAAAATGTAGGACATTGGGATAGCAAAAGACTCCAGCACTTTTCTAAGTGTCCCTTGAATGACACAGTGCACAGTCTCTCTTAGGTTATATTCTTCCTATGTCCTGATGGTAGGAACATGAGTAAAGTCAGCCTGCATACCATTGGGCTGCTTCTATTTTTTGGGGGGGGGGTCCGGTTGTGGGGCCTGAACTCTGGGCCTGGGCGCTGTCCCTCA